CTTCTGCCCTAATGTTTTCTTAGGTGTCCTCACTCTGAGGCCCTGACATTCCTCTGTATTGTGTAGGGCACTGAAGGAGTAGAGAAGCTCTGGGGAGCAGCACAAGATGTTTGCCACACTATCAATGTAGAAAGATCAGTTCAGTCTGCACAGTAAGCACCCTATATAACCCGGTAAGAGGAGAAAAATATCTTTCCAAGAGGGTGAGAGTCCACAAAGTACTGGAGATATAAGTAGGTGGACAGTGATCTCCTGGACCCCCCCAACTATTCCAGACGTACCCAGCAGGCGTGGGCCTCGGCTTTAACTCTTAGGAGGCCAGGAAGATAGGAAAAGAGGATAAGGGGCGCGAGGCCGGCGGCGCACCAGTCTCTACCCCTAGGGCTTCCTCGATCGAGTCGCCCATGTTTCATTCATCTTTGCAGCGCAGTGGCTCCGGAGCTGGGCAGAGGTAGATGGTTGGTGTGGTTCAGAGCCGCCGGGCTTCGCCCGCCAGTCCACTTAGTTCGGGGAGGGGAGGAGAGGGGCCGAGCGGCGGGCCAAGGATGCCTGGCCTTCTTCTCCTCTGCACCCGCTAGGCGCAGCCCCGCAGCAAGGCCCAGAAACTGGCCTGGGTCTCCCGCAAATTTCCACCCGATTAGCCTCCCGAGCCTTTGCCCAACGCAGCGGCGCGTCGGGCTACTCCCACGCCACCTCCTGGGTGACAGGCCCGGGATGGCCGGACCAAACGCCGCCCGGGTGTTCTCTTTGATTCGCCCGCTGGTGCGGTGTGCGCACAGATGCGATCGCGTGAGCGCGCGCGCGCACAGACACAAACACACACACACACACACACACACACACGCACACTCACAGCCGGGGCGGCCACCGAGTCCGCTTGCCCGGTCCCTGCCTCTCGGGTGCGCGGCGCCCTCGCAGCCTCCGCAGGCCCCTCCCCGGGGGAGGGAAGCAGGAGGCAAGCGGGAGGCCGGCGCGGGGAGGGACCGGCGATAGGGGAGTGTCTGGCTGCCCCCGCCCCTCGAGTGAGTGACTGGGCGAGGAGGTCCCCTCCCTCGCTCGCTCCCCGCCAGCTCCCGCTCGCTCCCTGCCCACTCCCGGGGGGGACGTTCTGTGCCGCGGCCGCCGAGGCCGCCGCTTCTTTCACACTTTACTTGGGAGCTGCGCGCCGCGCTCAGTTACAGGAGAGCTGGCCGCGCGCCGCCGCCTCCCGCACGCACGCACGCTTCGGTGTTTTTGGCTTGTACTCCAAGCAGCAGGGAGGAGGGGGAGACCTGGACACATTGTGGGGTGGAGGAGGAAGAGGAGAAGGAGGGAGGAAGAAAAAAAGACAAGGAAGAAAGGGGCGGGGGGCGGGAGGCTTCCAACCTTCAGCCCCCCGGCGAGCGCCCAAGGTAAGCTAGAGCCCATCGCCAGCCCTGGGGCGGGGGGAGTTGGCCGTGTAGCCCGCCCCGCTCGGCTCCCCGGGCATCCCCGCGTTGGCAGGGAGGGAGGCCTGCGGGGTGTCTGCCGCGCGGAAGGGATGGGAGCCGTGGTCGTGGCGCTGGCGGCGCGGGGCCCTGGCTGGGGCTGCTGCTGGTGCGGGGCTAGTGAAGCTGCTGCAAGGACGGAAGCTGGGGTGGGGGAAGCTGCAGGGGGCGTCTGCTTGCTGGGGTGGAGGGACTAGGATGCGGTTGGGGCTGCTGACGACTTTCGTCACGTTGAGGCCTGGGTGGCTCGTGTTAGACACCCCTCCCTTCTCACCCGCACTCCCCGCCGCCCTCAGCTTTCTTGCTCCTCTCTAGCTTTGCATGTAACCACCGTACTTTGCAAGCCAGAGCTTGAAAAGAAAAGAAAAAAAAAATTTCTTTCAGAACGCTTTGCTAAATCTCTAAGTCCCTTCTCCCCGTTGACGGATTGATATGTTTGTGTGGGTGGTGTGATCCCCGGGATTTCTGAAGTTTTGACCTTTTCAGGGTGCCTTGTTTCGGTGCATCCGTTTGACCACCTCTGTGTATTTGTTATTTGTGCCCATGAGAGAGGCACCCCAAGGGTGCTTGATTATTGTACAATGAACAGATTTCACTCCCCTCTGTAGGCAATTCGCAAATTGCTGCCGCCGCGGCTGACTTTGGTTTGCTGGTTAACGTCCTTCCCCTATCATCCACCCTGCCCCCTTCCTCTACTGAGGGATTTCCTACCCCCCCCCCCCTTTAGTATTTGAGTGAGAGCAGTCCCTAGGTTTCAGGGCTCTCATCCCCCATTCATTCCTCTTGTAAAGCTCTGAATTGCCTTAAGCATGTTGATAAAATTTGGGGATGGCTTTCTTTGCTTCAAGGTATAAATATACACACATACGCCTTAATGCGATGGCACTTAACAACAAGCACTGTTTGAAAGTGGTTTGTTTCCAACAGGAAGTTGACAACCTATGAGGTATCTTCCATTGCATGTGAGTAAGGAAAATTGTTTTAAAATAGATGGTGTTTATGTTGTACGCGGCTGAAAAACCACCGTAAGTTCAGCTATTGGAGCAACTCTGAAAGTAATACACTCCAGTCACTCTGAACCTCAGTAAAAACATAAATATCTTTGACTCTGACTAGCGGTAGGGCTGACACACCATAGATACCATGTAGTACTTTAAAAAAAAAAAAAAAAATTAAGGAAACAGTATGGACGATTTGGGGAAGTGACAAGTACATTACACATCTGTTCTAACTAGTAAGAATAATCTTTCCATTTGGTTTAGTTAGGATGTGCTGGGGTAGAAAAACATGGGCTAAGTACTTTAGCTCTGAGGGGAAAAGGTGTTTCTGGAGGATCTTTAAAACCAAAACGTTCAATTGGGAGTTTTCTTTGCTTTCTCATACTCCTAGGGACCTAGGGACCTGTTCTGTATTGGCAGTTTGGAAATGTAATTGATCAGACTTGGAAATTAATTTGGACTTGATTATCTAATTCTATTTGCTACTTTAGTAGAAAGTGCCAGAGATGGGAAAATTAGATGTATTTATCTGTATTAAACCAATGCGGGCACTAGCACCTCACACACACTGATACAGCATTGAATTGTATTTCCCTTAGTGTTTCCTGCTGTGCAAACCAGATTCAGAGAACAGCCCTGGAGGACTGCTAGGGAAAGCTGCAAAGACAAGTGCACTCAGCAGTTGAATGAATAGACGCCTGGCCTGAGAAGGAGTAGGGTGTTTCTATTGTCAAGCGCTATCTCTATTTCGACATTTTTTCCCCTCCTGGGATAAAGGATGAGGAAAAATAACCTTGGTTGATAGGAGTTCTCAAATCCTTTAGTGCTAAAAGTTCATCCTACAAGTGTCCTGACCCTCGGAAACCCTGTACAGGGTCGCTATGAGTCGGACCCGACTCGATGGCACTTAATAACAACAACAACAACAACAAGTGTCCTGAGGTTCTAGCTTCCCTCTTCAGAGTTGACTCAGTTTCACAGCTGATTTTATTCCTTTGACTTGTAATTTACCTCTTACTGTCATCTCACTCTATCATTTTAAATGGATTTCTGCGAACTAATAGGTTACTGCCTGAAGGTTTGCGCTGCTTGTAGAAATACAGGATATAAATCAAGAGCTTGCCCATTAATTGGTACAACTTTGCTGTAACTGATTCCAGAACCTTAGTAGGAGGATGGTGTTTTGTATCATTGCTGTTGGTCCTCAGTATCCACTGACGGTGGGACCAATTAAGTGGTAAAACCAATCCCTTAAAGGCTAAGAAGGAGCATAAAGTGCTAATTCACATAATATTTGTTTTATTATATTTTATAAGTATACAGGAGACTATGTGAAGGTTATGTGTAAATACTTTACCATTTTATACTAAGGGAACTTGAGCATTCTTGGGTTTTGATATCCTGGGATGGGGGAGGGGAGTTCTGCAACCAGTCCTCCTAAAGACTATCAAGACACAACTATGTGAGTATCACTTCCAGGTTGATGGTGTCTTAGCATTGCTGACTTTACAACAAGGCAAACCTGGAGTATTACATCCTGAGGGTCTTGCTCCAGGTTCTCAGTGGCTCCCTTTTCCTGCTAGATCTTTGTGTCAAGAGAAGGAGACAGACACCCCAGGGTAGGAGATGGAGTGTCAGGGCACCTCTGATTAGGGCAGGATAAACTCTTAAAGCAAGTGACTCATTTGCAGAGGATCTGAAGCCTGATACATATCAGCAGCTTCCCTTGAACGGATCAGTACAACTTGGAGCCATTAGAGAGGCACCTTCTGATCCCAACACATTTAGCTACCTATGTCAAGGGGTTGTATATTCTTCAGAACTTCTAGCTCTATGTCAAGGATGGTCCTAAGGAGAGGAGATAATATGACAGTAATTCTGGAGAGAGAGTAAAATTGGAAGAACTCAGTTTGACTGAGAAATTGTTCATTTTTCTCTAGCTGGTTGGAATCAGTTATAGTGGGTGAGGAGGCACGGCTTTGTGGTGCAGGTAGTTCCCCTGATTCTATTAGCAGAAATCTACTGTGCGTGGGCGCTGTATGTTTAGGTAGTTTAAATCCTTAAATTCTGGACCTCCATGAGGATGGAATGAAATCCAGAATTCTCAGAATTATTGGGGGTAGGTGTGGATATGATGATGGGCTGCCAGGTTCCAGCAAGCCCTCTTGAGCAGCACATTGATGCTTGAATATCAATCTGAAGTGAAAGTATAACATGTCTGATAATATAATGCAAGCTCATGTGGAAATAATTTATATGTAAATGTTGATCTGCCCTTTTCGGGAACATTGACTGTGTAAATCAAGTTGTGGTGTTGTTGTTAAGTGCCACTGAGTCAGTTCCAACTCATAGTGATGCTGCATATGGTTTATTAGAGTGTATGCCTTTGCGGGAACAGAAACTCTCATCTTTCTCCCATTGAAATGCTTACTTTGTGATTTGAAGTCCGGTGCTTATTGTATACAGCCAATGCACTCCCCTAATCAAGTCACACATTTAGTAAATAGCATTTCACTCAAATATTAGTTGGTTCAATCTTAGTTTCATGAAAATATACCTTTTTTCAAAAAGAAAATATATTAGTTTGGAAATGGAGCTAGTGGAGCCTCCCTCTCAGGGTTAAGGGAAGGATTTAGTGTTGTTGTTGTGTGCTGTTGAGTTGGTTCTGACACATAGTGACCCTGTATAGGGTTTCCAAGGAGTAGCTGGTGAGCTTGAGTGCTGACCTGGTGGTTCAAACCGACTTTGAAGTCTAGCGCATTAACCCACAGCACCACATATATTTTCCTAGGACTGCTTTAACAAAGTATCACAAATTTAGTTGCTTAAAACAACTCTCTCACACTTCTGGAGATTAGAAGTTGAACCCGGTGTGTGGGTAGGGCCATGCTCTCTCTGATGGCCCTAGAGAAGAATCCATTTTGCCCCCTACTAACTTCTGGCAATCCTTGGCTTGTATACTCATCACTTTTATCTCTGCGTCCACCATCACAAGGCATTTCTCTGTATGTGTCTGTGTCTTTGTGTTTAATTTTCCCTCTTTTCTGTAAGGACGCCAGTCATATTGGATTTAGAATTTACTGTACTCCATTATGACCTCACTTAGCTTAATTACATCTGCAGAGATCCTGTTTCCAAATAAGGTCACATTCACAGGTTCTGAATGGATATGAAGTTTGGGGGACACTATTCAGGAGTCCTGGTGTGGCACTGTGGGTTAATGCGCTAGACTGCAAAGTCAGGTTGAACTGCAAGGTTGGTGGTTCAAGCTCACCAGTCGCTCCTTGGAAACCCTCTAGAGGGTCGCTATGGGTCGGAACCGACTCGACAGCATTTAACAACAACAACAACAACATTCAATCCATTACAGTGGGTATTCAGATGTTCACTTTAGAATTGTTCAATTGCTTTGTTTTTTCAGCTTTACTCTGTAAAGATTTTAAAAGTTTTATTAATATTAAACAGGTGCATTTTGACCATTCTGTGCTGCTTCTTAGAGTTTTAATTTTAGAAGCCCTGTAGCATGGGAAAAGTGAAAGTTATGTTCCATTAGGTTATCGTTAAAACGTGATAAGCCAACTCCAATAGACCAGTTATAAAATACTGCTGAGAAAACTGAGATGACAGGGATAGGACTATGTGCAGGAAGAGTTACAACACAGAACTATATTTTTTAAATAGTGACAGTGGTGAAGGTAAGAAATCATAATTCAAGAGCTTATCTGAAGTGATGTGTAAATGATATATAGCTACATATTTTAAAATAGGCAATTATTTAGCTTGACTATCTCTGTTCTGAAGTTTAATTTTACAAGTTACAGTTGCAACAAGAAACAACATGACATGCTGTGGTTATGCAATTATGACAAGAGTAGTTGGTTGTAAACTGGGCTAGGATGCCCTAGCCATAGAAATTAACATGCCACT